GCTGCTGCGCGGGCGGCCGTTGGGGCCCGGCTGCCTCGCGGAGGAGGGGGGTGGGTGGGTAGATAGATAGATAAATAAATAAAATCACTGAATACTCTGTGCGAACTCATCTGTAACCCCCTTGCCTTCACTTGTTGCTCAGAGCAGTCCGTCTCTGTTTCCCCCACCTCCCCCCATGTGCTCTTCCAGCAGTACTTTTTATGAGGGCTTCTTAATACTACCACTGAAAATGAGCTGTGGAGTCCGGGCTGAGCCGTGGAGCTGTGGCCATGCAGTGGCAAGTGCCTCCAGTAGCACTGCTCCCATCCCAATGGAGGCCAGGCAAAGGCCTGGGGTGTAACGCCACTTGCTCCAGCAAGCATTTCATGATAGTAATGCGGCCAGGCCCTTAATCAGAGAATCATAGAATCACTATGGTTGGAAAAGAACTTCAAGGTCATTGAGTCCAACCATAAGACCTTCACCATCCTGCCTGTTAAACCTTGTCCTTAAGCGCCTCATCTACATGTTCCTTGAACACTGCCAGGGACATTGACTCCGCCACTCCCCTGGGCAGCCGGTTTCAAGGCTTCACCGCTCTTTCCGTGTAGAAATTCTTCCTAGTGTCTGACCTGAGTCTTCCCTGGCGCAACTTGAGGCCATTTCCTCTTGCCCTATCGGTAGTTATTCTGGAGAAGAGATCAATCCCTGCCTCACTACAAAACCTCCTTTCAGGCAGTTGTAGAGAGTGATAAGGTCTCCCCTGAGCCTCCTCCACACTAAGTAACTGCGGCTCTCTCAGCTGCTCCTCATAAGATCTGTGCTCCAGCCCCTTCACCAGCTTCGTTGCCCTTCTTTGGACTAGGTCCAGCATCTCAATGTCTTCCTTGTAGTGAGGGACCCAAAACTGAACCCAGTATTCAAACGTGCAGCCTCACCAGCACCGAGTACAGGCAGACGATTATTTCCCTAGCATGCTGCTTCAGCAGCAAAAGCAACCTGAAAGACACAAAAATCTTTTGGATGTGGATCAAAA